GTGCTGGATCTTCAGAGGGATTGCTGCTCAAAGGAGTGAGATTTTTAAGGTCAGGAAAGAGCAGAAAGAGGTGTCAGGTCTCCTAAACCATTGCTGGAAAACGACGCCCATTCCAAAGTGGGGGCGTGGGCCTGCCAGGGGCAGAGGCCTACTGTTATCATCTTATTGAAAAAATTCCATACCTTCTTGGTGATTTCTCATGGGCAGATCCTCACAGTACTAACTCCTTCTTCCTCACAGCACTGCCAACAAACACCAACTAACTTCTGGACCAGCCAACCTACTCTCTACAATACCCACCCTAATTAGATCTAGCTGTGGCCTATTAAGGGCAGGCCTGTTCTTAATTCTTGATAATTAGCACAGCTGTAACTCCTTAGGGCTGAGATTACCTTCATCACTATCTCTATTCTCCTACATTCCATCCATCCACAGCCTGCCACTCCATGGTTTATGAATATTATAAATTATGGATAAGAGTAAAAGAAAATAGTATCTGAATTTTACATGACCCAGTTTTGTATTGTATTTGGCAAACAATATCTTGTCCAGTATATTTTAAATACTAAGTGCTAAGTTAGGAAAACAATGAGATGTTTGTAAATATGATAAACCATTCCAATATACTGTTTCTCATTTGAAAAGTCATTTGTGCAAGAAATGATTATTGACCCATAATATGTAAATTATTGAAATACAGAAATTAATATTTGGGTCAACTCATGTCTTTTTCAACCATGAAATGAAAAGCTCAGTGTTCACATTCCAATTCATACATGAAAGCATTGCAGCACTATTACTTGGCTATTGTATTAATTTATTATTGTCTTAGTTAATGACATACAGTTACATCTCTACTTTCAAATGAGGAGGAGGCATTGTATGTCACAGTAATGTTTCAACCCAGGATGTCCCCTATTCTGGACACTTTACTGGTGACAATAAGCCAAATTCGGAGCTGATATGGAAGCAAATAAACAGCAACGCCACCACGAAGGTGGTTTTAGCCCTAATACACCTTAAAGGTTGCACAGGGAGGACTGGCTCCTGCAGTGCAGCTCCTCTGCTCTGCCTGGGCTTGATACTCATCTCCTTCACTTGAGTTTTACCCAGTGTGATTGCAATTAATTCAGAAAAATAAACAACACAGGATCAGTGAATTTAGTGCTGTGAGGTAGTCCTCATTCTAAGGGTTTTGTTTCTGCTCCCTCCTCCTTTTCCCTGAGTCATGGCGAGTCTGTGGGAGTGTGGGGTTTCTAACTGCACTGTGGGAGTACTCCTTCTTCCTGAGGGAGCTGCGACAGGCCCCTCAGCCTAAAGTGACTTTCATTCCAGGGAATTCATTCAGTCCTCATGAAACATGCCAGGTTGTGACCCCAGAGACTCAGGTGCTCTCTGTCTCCCCAGAAGGAGTGTGCAAGGCCTAGAGCAGCAGGCCAGCCTCTGTCCCCGGCGTGGCAAAAGGCAGCCCGTGAGCCTGTGATGAGGCACCTCCCCAGCCACTCACAGCAAAGGTGCCTCAATAAGGCTGTCCATAAGGGCCAACCCATGCAAGCTAGACCTGCAATATATTTGACTCTTGGACTATTATCCATTACATTTCAAATGCATTGGCTACCAAGCTTAGCTGGATTGAGTCTGACTTAAGATCAACCATCCAAATAATTCATTAGTATCCTATAAACTGTGTGCTCCATCTTTGTGGCTTTTTATGCAAAAGTAAACAATGCCTCATTCTTTGTGCCATCAGGTATTGTATCACTTGATGGGTCTATCTCCTTAAAGAGATGCATAATTTAAATACAAATAAATGTATGAGTGAAATCCATGTAGAATGATATTCATGACAGACAAAATGAATGAGGAAGAGACGGGCAAAACAATTTAGATAATACCCAAAAGCAAAGCGTCACAGCTAAATCAGGATTAACCCATGAAGCATGATGTGTTTCATGAAATGACTTTGGTATAGTCTAAAATGACAATGACTCAAATGAATTAAGAAGGGCAGCATTGCATCAAGTTTGCTCCAGTGTTCAAACATGTTACACACGTACTAGATCATGACTACAGGAAAGAGCCTGATTTTTTTAGTTAAAATTATATATTGTTACATATGCACATATTTCACAGACAAAACATTTTTTAAAAATTATTTTGCCTAAAACTATTTTATATTACAGATAGAAATTATTTTAAGCAGCTTTAAAAGGCCATAGACTCAGCTCTACATGGCTTGCAAGATAAGGTAAAGAAAACCACGGTAAAAGGGCATGTTTGGGTGGTGAGGAACAAATGTGGTATCCCAGCACCACATAAAATGGTGGTGAAAATGAAGCAGTGGTAATGGTAGTGGTCAGTGATGTCACTATTGCCCTCATGGTGTGATTTAGAAACTGCCCCCACTGGCCAGCTGTAGCAGAGGGGCAACATACTCCTGGTCCTGCCCAATTAATCATCCTCTCGTTTTCATAGTCTCTGGTGCAAAAGGCAGACCCAGATGACTAATTCTGGCAATAGAGGCCCTGCTTGTCAACAAGACCTCCCTTTGACAGAAGTGTGATTTGGTTTTAATTTTCTTCAGCCCATTCATTTATTTGAGGCTAATGGCTGACATGAATCATAGCGTTTGAAGGGAGAAGCACGATTTGTACTAGCAGCCTAAAAGGGATGGCATGTCCACCAGGGATGGCAGGAGCAGAGGGTGCAGTTTCTTGATGCTTTGCACACAGGAGCCAGGGATTGGCAGAGAGAACTCCAAACTCAGGGTCCTGCCCTGCTCACAGGGAGAGCAGCACCAGCTGAGAGCCAGCCAAGGTGTAAGTGGAAAGTGGTGCTCCCTTGCAATGGATTCGGTGGGAGCCTCAAACTGACAAGGTGATGATTACTGTGGCCCCAGCCAAGTGCAGCCTTTGTTTAACTTTATTACTATGAGTAAGCTAATTGACGTCACTGGGCTTGCGTGCTTAAAAGTTCTGGCTGTGTTAAAATACTTGGTGGGCCAGGGAAAAATGGGTGTTTAGCACCTTGCTGGGCACAGCCTGGGACAAGCCCTGACCCTGTGCAAAGCGGGTGTGCTCAGTCCGTGGTTGCACCGCCCCACGCTCCCCACAGCCCCATAATGGCTGGGCATTGCCTAAATCACAAAACACGTTGCACCGAGGCAGACAAAACTAGCAACAAAATTAGCAGGAGTCAGTCCAGCTGACTCTGTAAGAAGCTTTCAGAGTTTCAAAATCAATCTTGAATTTACCTCTAACCTTGAAAACAAAACTAATTGCAGAATGTAAGACTCCCTGAACATGATAGGAAACTTGATAGGAATACCTAGGAAAAAACACATACACTTTGGATAAACCCCCCATTTTAATTGTATCAATTCTGCCAATTAATGATAATGGAAGAGCAGCCCAATTAGCTAAATAGCTAATAGTTTTATCAAGCAGAGGCTGGCAATTTAAAGCAAACAAATTCATTCTAATTTTATCCCCTTGCACACCAAGATGTTTAAAGGATAATGGGGGATCCAATAAAGGATATTGCTGAAATAGAGCTACATTTAAATCACCTAATGGCTTTAAGAGTTTTACCCCAATTAACAAAGAAGAAACATGAACATCATTCAGTGACTTCCAGCATAATCTTCATTAAAGAAAATCTTCATTAAAAAAATAACATATCCTCCAAGTAAGGGCAAAATGGAAAACATCACTGACTTTTCCCTTAAAAACAGTGACTTCTCCCAAAACAAAGGCTCCTCTGTAACAGCAAAAGTATCAGAGAAAAAAGACTCTCATGTCTAAGCCTCAGTATATAAATCATCTTCAAACTGTGGTCATTAGTTTTAACATAACAGTGGATTTGAATAAAGGAGATTGACCTATCTAACATATTTAAGACCAAATCCTACTGTTACCTAAATCTGAAATAAGTTAAGGCTATTGAAGAGAATCAAAAGCCTTTTCAAAACCAATAGCCAGAACAAATTCTCCATGATCATAATTTTGAGGATAAAAAATCCATTAAAGTGATGTCTTTGATTGCTATTAATGAAGCAATCTGGAATAAATCCAGAGTGATCCATATGGATAATCGAATCTCTCATTTTCTCACATTTTACAGATTTGGGCTCTGATTTATGTGACAGTGATGGGCAAAAGGCTCTTTTCCTTTTGACTCTGGGCTGCCCAGCCTGGACAGCTGATGGCACAGTCTCTAAAGGGAGCTGGAAGAACAATGAACTCGATGCTCAAAGAAAGAAGAGCTCAAATAAATCTACTTCCAGTCTCAACCATATATCCCCAAATATCTTGCCTTCTCTGCAGGTCTTGTGAAGGTTACCGTGGGCTGCAGGAACCACCAAAGTGCTGCTAATTAACTGGCACAAAGCTCCCTCCTTCCTCAATACCCCCCTCATGGCTCAGAGGTGCTTGGCACTCTCACTGCCCTGCCAGGCTCAAGCAGAGACAGGGATGTCACCCACAGGGCAGAGGTGGCCTCCAGAAAAGCCCCAGGTAAAGCCTTTGGCTGAAAATTAGCTGCTTTTGGGGGAAGGTAGAAAGACTTTCCCTTCATTGTTAAGCTCTTGTTTGTCTTGTTTGCCCAGTCAAGCAGGAAGAGATTTAGGCTTCTCTCCTTTTTTTTTTTTTTTTTTTTTTAAATAATGTCATGAACTCAGAGACAATGAACTCCCCTCATTCCTGGAGCTGTGGCCAGGTCACCCTACCTAGAAGCAGGGTGGGTGCAGGAGGAGCCCTTTTCTTCCCTCTGCCACCCACAATGCTAACCCCAAAGTTTTACTGCTCTCCTTCTCTGCCCTTCTCCTTTCAGACAGATGATTCCAGCACCTCACTCCTCAGCATCAGTTTTTTGGCTTCTGGATATATCCTGGCAGGCAGCAGTCTCTCCCTCCCCTGCATGCCCTGCTGCCAGTCAGATCACCTCCATGAGCCAGCCTGCCTCACCCCTCCATCTCTTCTCCCACAGGGCTATCATCTTACCTGGTACCTTGGTTTCTCTTGCTAAGCTGACCATCCATAATCTGGTTCCCTTGGATTCACTGAAGAATTTGCCACTTATCCCAAATTTTGAAAATTTCATCAGAAGACCAGTAGTGCTAGAAAGGAATAGAAAGTTTTCATTTGTAACTTGGCTTTTTTGCTGCCTGTAATCTGTCTCTAAGGTAGGTGCCAACCTCCTTCACCTTTCCCTAAAGTCAGAATTGCCTGTGTCACATCCTGCAAAATCCTCCTGACCCCATGCCACAAGGTCAGGACTGGGCCCCCCATCTCTGAGCAACACTGCCTCAGTCAGAATTCAATAATGTACTTGTATTATATGACCTGGTAGGAAGTGATTTTTATTTTAGATTTCAAGCAAGAACAAAAAATGTTAGACAGCAGATCAATACACTTTGTACAGATATCACACAATATTTTGAAATTTCACCTTCATTATAAGCCTAAACTATCTTTGAATGAAATTTAATTTCACAGGTGTAACAGCTTCTTTTCCTTCTAATCTACTGACTGCACATTGAAGGTGAAAGCTCATGGGTTCAGGTTTTTTTATGTACTTTTATCCAAAGCAGACGTAGGAAGGTCTTTAGAAGTCTGATCTATATGTAAGGAATAGTTACTAACAGAACCATCTGCCTCTCAAATAGATGAAATTATATATAAAACTTTCCCTCTGACTTCACGACCAGCTGACAATCTCCTGTTGCTCCCACTCTTGCAACTCTTTTCTGCATTTAGTTGCCACTAAATGATATGCAACTCCAAGCTGGTTTCTTTTACAAGTGCTGCATCTATCATGTCAGTCAACATGGATCCATGTGTCAGAGGTGTCACTTTGTAAAAGGATGCCCTTGGGTGACCAGGGTCAGTAAAAACTGCAGGTTTTCCTTATCACAGTGCAATTAGGACAGAAGCTGTCTCCTTTTCAGACTCACTAAAAATCAGGTAAACAGAAAAACCTAAGATCAAGAACACAAGGCTGAAAAAATCCAACTATTCCAATATTTTATGTCTGATAATTACCAGTAGTCGATGTTCAGAAGGAGAAGTGTAAGAACAGGCCAGATACTGAAGTTTGGACAGTGTTATGTACCTTTGGCCTAGGCAATCTTGTTCAGACTTGGGCAGCATGTAGTGAGATTACCAAAATCTTCAAGCTAGACTGGAGGCTAGTTGTTGACAATTCTTGAGGGTATATAGAGATTCCTGTTTTAATGTTAGAGTACAATCATTTTTTCCTACTTTTTAGCGATCTGAAATTATTTCTGCAGCTCATTTAAATGATCTTCATTGTTCTTTATTGCCCACAGCACTTTTCCTCAAGCTCTTTAATCAGCTTGAATCTGAGAGGCGAAAGCAGACACTTTACCATGAGCTTTTTAGAACTTTTGCTGACACAGTAGCTCTGGACACACCTGTGAAATGTTCAGACAATTGTTAGGAAAATTGGGAGAATTGAAGAAGTTGAACCAGCAATGGCAACATCAATATTCTCTACTAGTGATGGGAGAGAGCAACCAATTCCCTATCAACATATGCCCTTGCAGATGGGTGTTTCTAAGAGCAAAAGTGCTAAGCCCTGACATTTGCAGGATGGTGTGGAGATTGTAGAGCAGGCTTCAGGAAGTTTACCAGCCCCAGCTGGGTGATAATCTACAATGGCCACAGTACAGGTAGACATCTAATTTGAGGAGTATGCTTAGACAAGTATTTGGGAGATTCATTAATGAGATTTGACCTGGAAAGCACAGCATCTTTCATCTGTATGGAGGCAGTGAGTAAGATGGAAGGAGCATTTGGGGTGGATGATTCAGCTTGCTGAGCCCACCTGTCATGGCTCTGACAGGGAAGAACCTTTCCCCCATGAAGTAAAGCCATCAAAAGTTAAGAGGATTTCTTTGCAGCCGGACAGGGTAAAAGAAGGAATATGTGAAATTTTCTTCCCAGGGCTGTTAAGAGTCTCTACTGGCAAAACTAATGGGCAATGTAGCAAATTGTAGTCATAGTATTTTTTTAAGAAACCAATGCCACTAGTCAGTTCTGGGACACAGACTGAAAAATACAAAAGCAGTTATGAATTCCATTAGCTTTTTTGAAACCAAAGGAATTTTACCACCAGGGAACAAATTCTGCTGCTAGTTACAGTGATCCAATTTCAGTAAAGCTGATGGAACAACTACAGAATTACTAGTACTAAAGCAAACAGAACTCCTACTTATTCAGGTACAGGAAGAATCTGCTCCAAGCCCCTGGAATGCATGTTAGGCTGTGATGAACAGATATAACCACAGAAATAACCACCTCACTGTGTTCAGTAAGAGCAAGGAAGAGATAGAAACCTAATTTGTGATGTTCTACCCCTTAAAAAGAAACCTGAACACACAGCTTATTTTTATAATTAAATGTGTTACCTGAAGAACAGTTGCACACACTCATTTGCATAGGATTTGGTATACATCTGTGCTCTTCAATAGATTATTCCAAACCTTGAGTATTTCCTATAATTAATGTCAATATGCTTGGCTTATTTGTTATAAAAGAAAAGAGTTTCTAATTAGCCTTTTTGATGTGCAAAACTTCAGTATTTCTCTCTAGTGTTTTTCAGATCATGTTTTTTATTTTATACTACTAAGTGATAGTAAGACTTAAGACTAATTCTGAAGATGGTTTAAATTGCATGTATGTGATAACTAGGCCTTGACCTGGCATCACCATGGGGTGAGGTTCTCCTGCTATGAGCAATGTCAGAAGTCCACAAAATACCAACTGGCCTTGTGACAAGTCAAATATTGCAAATTCCTATTAAAATCAACCAACACTTTGCATATTTCCCTTTATCATAGTGATATACACAATTTACCTTTAAACCCAAGCAAACCCTACTTGCCTTCACTGAACCTCAGGAGAGTCTTTGGGAAGAACAAAACCTTCACAGCACTGCCATTCAGAGGCTTATCACAACACACCAGGGACACAAGTAAATCTCAAGCAGTAGAAAAGAGTACAACTGTAGTGAGCTGCCTCGATGTAGCAATAAAGAAGGTCGAGATGGGCATTTTTTTTACACCAGTCAGCCCTGCAGATAGACCAGACAAATTAAGAAGTTTTTGCCAAGCCAAAGGATAGGTTGTGTCAGCAGCAAATAACAGGGGGGTGGAAAGTGAAGTGTGCAGACTCCTACCACTTACCTCTCTTTTTCCTGGGAGGAACTTAGCACTGAATTTACATTTACGTAAAACCACGGCACAAGATTGACTGGATGCCTATTGGAAGCAATTGGAATATTTTCTTTTTATTTTGAGTCTTGAATTAAACTAAATGAGAACAGAGCAAGGCCTGGTCTGTGGAGGCATACAGAAAAAAAAATGTGCTTCTATATTAAATTGGACATCCAAAGCACTTTACTGAATGCTGAAACAAGATGTGAAATTCCATGACAATCTCAGGTTTTCTTTCCTGTGCAGCTTTCATTTAACACAAAGAGGCTTATTTTGCATATCATGGGGCCCTTGATCCTGAGCATTAAATATAATAGCTTCCCTAGAAGCTTTATAGCCTTGGCAAGACAGTATAGATTGGCCTTGTTGGTTGATTTGTTAATTCAAACAAGAATAGCACATTTCTAAAACTTTGGCCAAATTAACATCTTTTTGACTGTTCCAATGAGCTGATATCACAGTAGAAACCTGGAAGCGGTAGTCAAGTCTTTGATGATTTATTTAGTAGGAGTCATCTTGTAGCTAATTGTCTGCAATTTTTAACCTCATTCATGTGCACTGCTGATTCTTCTTCCAGCATCTGCAGTTTTCTCCTCAAGCTTTCTTACATCTCTGTATGTATCATTTCCAGATGGCAACTCAACTTCATCACAGTATTTTTATGAACTTGCCAAACCACATTCAAGATCTTCAGACTCAAAAGTAAAAGATAAAATCATCCTCAGAGGGCACCTCACCCTTCTGCACCCAGGCACATGAAAAAAGCAGAGCTTTAGGCCCTGACATTTACATTAATGATGAGTCACAGCATAGGATTCTTTGGTTTAGTTTTTTTTGGTGTTGGAATTTTCACCTTTTCATTCTTCTCCTGGATTTCCCTCCTTGAAAACATATCAAAAGAGAGCAAATACTGGTGTACCATGTTTTCTGTTTGTACTGCATTAGTTACCATCTCTGTACTGCTGGCCCCAGCGACATGCATACCGTCAGTCACTGCAGATGTACCATAGGAAGAATGAGGGATGACCAGGCAGGGAGGTTTTGGCTGGGAGTGCAGCAGACTTTCACACCACATTCACAGTAAATCTTAGCAGAGATCAGAATTAACTCAAATGCTCAAGATATTTGATGGCTGTAACCTAGATCTTCCTGGGTAAGTTCAAAGAAGAATCTGACTCACTGTTTGGATCTGTTTCCAACATGGTTTAAGGATTGTCCTGATGTCTGGTAAGTCATAAAAATATAACAGTTCTAGTCACATTCTGGTTAATCTCATGTGATTCTTCAAGAGATAGAAAGTGCTTCCTGGTGGTTCTCTGCCTTCAGTTATTCCAGTGCATGACTCAGCAATTGTCAGGTGTCTGTTTTGGGGTGGTTTTATGCCATGAGTGAAAGAAGGGCTCTTTATGTCTGGTTTCTGTCTCCTATTTGTATGTTTATGAAGAAGACTGAGTCCCTTGGGACATGGAAGATACTCTATTTGGGCAATATTATTACCATCACCTACGATGATCCATGCCTGTGGGAAGATATTTTTAAAAATAATAAGTTCCATTTTTCTAATGTAGCTATTGTTTAAATGTAAAATATAATTACAGTATCCACCCAGGGTGTATGTTGCTGTGTAATTGTATAATACTACATCTAGATGACTGTTGGCATTCTACCTATGTACTTAACCACACCCAGGAATGCTGGTATTGCACAATTACACACATCCTGTTGACTAATTATACAATAATTAGTATTTTTAGCATTCAAAGATGCACTCAAGTCAGTTGTGCAAGATTTTATGTCACTGCAAATTAAAGACAAAGAATAACAAATATATCTAGTAAACAAGGCTGTCCAAATAGCTTACTGAGCCTGGACAGAGTTTCCAGCAAATAGCATGTAATACTTCATACATAATTTTAAAATGTAAGACATTTTATACATGTTTGGCAGAAACCCCCTCTCCCCCTTACTTTGGGTTATACCTTTTTTATAAAACTGTTGAAGTAATTTGATATTCAAAACAGAATTTCTGTAGTCTGTCTCCTGAGTTATGATCACTTATCATGACCAGAGATAATTTTTGGCTGAAAAGGCACTGTGATGTGCCTAGGGAAGGAAGATTGTTCTTTACAATGGCAACTCTGGAAGGAGTCTGGGAAATGGACTTTTAGTTAGCAATTAGTCACAAAATATCCCAAAAACTGTTGTTTTAAGAAAGCGCTGCTGAGTAGTCCTTGCCACTTGGATCTGGAACAGATTTTCCATAAGCCTGAGTGGAGTGTCTTGATCCGGTCTCTTGGTTCTCATGATGTTGATGAGAGACTGGATGAGAAGTCTGGCTCACCATTTGGATTTGGGGATTTAAGATCAGAGGCTTTTTGTTGCAATCTTGTCTTACATGTACTTAAAAAAATGTTTGTGTAACGTAACTTCTAAACTTGTTGTTAATCTTAATTCAGTCAAAATTTACAGAAGGTGGCACAGAGGCCAAGCCCTGGGTCTTGCCTAGGGCACAGTTTGATTAGCTGCAATGCTCCAAGTGGATTAAGTATGATGTTTCAGAGTGTTTCTGGCCTGCCATTGCTAGTTTCCCTGGAACCCTCAGTTGTGCACATAGACCTTTATGGTGAGAAAGATGGAAAATATAGACTATGTTCCCACCTCTAACTGCGTTTGTGAAGCAAAAGAGCAAAAGATATTCTGCCCATAGCTTCATTTTTTTTTTTCTCGTAATGAATTTGATTTCTACCTTGTCAGTTACTGAGGCAGCAAATGATTTCAAGACTGAAAACAAACCACTCCCCAGGAGTTTCTGTTTGGACTGTTTCTCTTTTCATAGGCCAAAAGGTTATAGTGCAAGAGCAGTTTCTTTCAGCTACTCTGAAGAGCAACTTTTTGCTAGCATTTTAAAAATTGGTATTTTAGTCTGAACATTTGCCCTTGCCAGGCAGTTACTTTCTAGTAAACTAACACTTCTATAAAAGCAAAGTGGGGCTGTTTGGAAGGATAGTGATGTGAGACTGCTGAAATAAATGACATTGTTCAGTTTAGGGACACGTGCAAGTTGCTTCATAACTGCCCCTTAAGCCTTAGCAACCCCTCTACCCCAAATATCAGCAATAAAGTCAGGGCAGTACTGCACTTCTTTGCTGCTGGCAGACACTTAAAAAGAGGCCAGATTTCTGAATTTGTAATTGGGACTCCTGTTACTTCTAAAGGCTCTTTTATGTTCACTGCTTTCTTGCCTGGGGTGCTTTACCCATGACTGGTAGAGAAGAAATATCAGAGGGACAGGGCAGCCATCCTCACCTGTTTACCTTGGTCAGCACTGGCAAGCAAACAGCAACCTGATTTCCCACTGAGAACCAGCCTTTCCTCTGAGAGCAGTTACTTGAAAAACTGTTCTTTAAACATAAGGCCACAGTTGACATGATTGGTCAAATCCCTCTTTTCCCTTCTTTCCTAAAGAAAAAAACAAAACCACAATGAATCTACACACCCTGCTATTTTCCTCCAACAGAAATGCTGTGGCTCATCTGCATATATGATGAGCAGTATTTCATTATTGAAAATAATCCATAACAAAAAATTGCACCTGGCCAGAAACCTAAGACCAACTTGTTTCCTGATGTGATTTTAAATGGCTGAGATATTAAACACTGAAAAATGGGGTTTATAATGGAAGTACTGACAGACTATTAACTATAGCAGTGCTGCTCTAATAAATGAAATAGCCTGTCGTAATCTCTAATTCATAAATATGCAAATACAAGGCAGAGGATTTGCTCCAAAGGATGTCTCTATAATTTTAACTGACCTTTACTGATACTAAATGAGCCTGTTGCTTCTGGTTTTGTGCATTGAATAGAAACTACAGGGAATCCTGTCTCTTTACATCTAAGGCCCACTTCAGGTCCCATAAGTGCCAAAGGCACTTGCTACCTTCAACAGGAAAAATGTGGCCCCAGAACATCTAAAATGTGAGACACCTGGCATTAAACTGAACTCCTGACTGTACTTGATTTTAATTCTGCTCTCATCTGTGTTAATTATTATTATATTAATTCTTCTGTTTGGGAGAAATTAAGCACACATTTGCCCCATGTGTCAAAGAGCTTGACCTGCCAAAAAGCACTTACTTGCTCAGTGATAAACAGACCATCAACACAATGATATAAATGTTGAATTTTAGCCAGTTTCCTGTTCTGCACCAAATGGAAGTAAATCCACTGACTTAATATTTAATAACCTAAATGTAATTTCTTTTTTCTGCCTCGCATTGCACAGTAAAGAATTGGATAGCTAGCAGTTTTGCAAATTCCCAACCCCTAATTATTTTAAGCTATTCATCCTGGTATCTGTCCATTGATGCTCAGCCAAATTGCCAGCAGGGGAGAGATCTGTCCAATCCAGGAGCTAAATGAGTCACTGAGAGTCAATCTGTTTTTTTCCCTTGCTGCTGGGATTTCCTTGGGTCCTGGCCTCTCTCTGCTCCAATCACACAGACACAGCTCCAGGCGTGGGTCCTCTTTGGCTTCAGCTGCCTCCTGTCTCCCGTGTCTGCTCTGCTCATCACAGCTGTTGATGGGCTCTCACCGGCTGGCCACAGAAGACCAATACTTCCACCACACTGCTCTTACAGCTCTTGCTCTGAAGGAAAATGAAGACATCTTGGCCTTGTTGAATTTGCTGATGAAGTAATACATCAGGTATCTAGACGGAAAGCAAACCACATGAATAAAATGTGTCATCTGGGTTAGATACTAATTTATTTGCCTTAAGTTCTGGGAACAATATCTGCAGTTTTTTTCCAGAGAATTCGGTTAAGTTCCATAGAAACTGAATACTAATATGATTTCTGTAGCATGGAAGACAAATAGGAAACAGAGAAAAAATAGACTCATCAGAAATATTAGCTGCTCACTATCAAAATATCTGACAATGCCACAAGTACAATTTATAAACAGGAACATTTAGAGCCTAACTTTTCACTAAAAAGCAAATTCCCTGCTTTCTCCCTTTCAGGGACAGGATTCAATTACACAAAAATATGCAGCAGACTTAAGGACTGCATGTAAGATTAAGATAACTGGTATTTCATGGTAAATGATTAAATTAGCTGACACAGTTTTATCCTGAACTTTGCCATTAAAACTGACATTTTTGTGCCATGCACATTGTAGGCTGCTGGTAATCTAAACTGCCTTTCTTCTTTCAAAGACTTTAAATAGCTGAAGAACTCTTGTTCTTTACTCTATTTGCAAATGTCTGGAAAATATATCTACAATATAAGAAGATGAAATAAGCACAGGACTCTTTTTACTCTTTTTTTTTTTTTCTTCATCTCAAAAATACCTTGAGAAAACAGCAAGGAGGTTCAAAATGTCCAGATTAAGCTCTGCAACATGCACTTTAATAAAGTAATTTATGTGACTCTACAGAGATGAGAACATGCTGTCCTCCTCATAGTGAGTGAAAATAGAGAAATGACAGAAGTCTCTAACTAAAAATTTAATTATTCCTAGTATACAATTTTAAACCACTCTATGATTATTCCTCTTCTTTTCAGTCTTGCTTTTTCATGATGGCAGGAATTATGGGAATAATTTTGATATAAACCAGATGTAGAAATGTATGGATGAAACATTGTCAGAGCTGGTTGTAGTCATTGCCCTTCAGTTGAGTTGGCTGGGAAGGAACAACTCAACTCCTCGCTGAAGATACTCAGTCTTCAAGCAAAGTGCAGGCACGTGTCGCTGCACACAGCAAAGACAAGGCCAGTCTGATCAGAGACATGAACTATGACAGAAGCACAGTTCCTGAATATTACACTGAGAGACCACCAGAACAGGTGGGAAGAAAAGCCACAGAGGCACTGCAGAAAGGAAGAGAGGTGGCAGGACATACAGCCAGTGCATCCCTATGAGAGGCCAAGGGTGAGTATAAGCAGTGGGCTCTGGATAAAAGAGGTCTCATGGGCAATTGGATGAACTTATTTCATTTTTATAGCTGTTTGACTTGTCCAGGGGTCAGAAAAACTCTTTGTCCTTTCTTTGTAGATACATAGTTACATAAAAGCAGTTTGTGACTCTCACAACACTTTCTCCTCATAATTAGTACAACCTAGAGTACCTCAAACTTTTAACCAGCCATGAAGTTCAAAAGAAGTAGCTCTAACAATACAAAAGCACAGGGACTAAAGTACTAGTCCAGAACAGTGGTTCAGCATGTCCAGTCTTTCAGAAACAGGACCCTTACACACTTGTGAATAAGATGCAAGAGGAATGACAATTATTATTACAGACTACTAAATGGGACACTTAATTCCCCACGCACAGGCTCCAGAAGTTGAAGTTTTATGATGAAGTCATGCATGAATCATATTATACTACTTTCTGTGCAGTGGTACAAAGATACAAGAAGTCTCCAAACATTGATGGTAGAATTTGGAGAGTAAAGACCTGCCTCTTTACATGAATTCTGTAATAGTAACCAAGGTCTCTGCTGGAAAAGGTAGTGGAAGCTCAACAAACACAAAAAAAAGATTGTGATTTTTTTTTTCCAGAAGAGAATTTGACCCTTTATTCATAGTGCAGACTTATCAGAGGTGTGTGCATAACAGGGATGCTATGTAATTTTGCTGTGGCAAAATTTTTGGATACCTTCTTATCCATGAACAGTTGAGCAAGACTTTGGACTCTTTATATCTTGGATCAGTTCTAATAAAGAAGAAGAAACACAGCTTTTTACACAGCACCTTCCCCAGCAGTTAAAAACTGCAGTTTATACAGCACCCATACAATCACACCATTATCATCAAAGCATGACTTTCATCCCTGAAAATCATAATGGCCATGAAGTCAAAGAAAGGCCCACAAAGACAGTTTCATTGTCTGAGAATTCATGCAAATGTTGAACATGAATGAAACTCAATCTGATTATCAAAAAATCAAACCTGTATGATGATCTCACAATCTATGTTATTCAATTAAACTTCTCATCTCTCCTACATATTTTTTTGTCTTTTAAAAGATACAGCTACCTTTACTTTCTTTTTTTGTATTTTAAACTGAAAACCTTTCACAGCAGAGGTTCCATGAATCATCTAGCTTTCTTATTCCAAAATGTTTCACTGATCATCCATTATTAACTGAGTAAAATGAAGGTAGCTATGATAAATTTTGGTCTATCTCAAAGTATTAGAAAGGATATGAAAACATCTTGTTCATAGTGCTAACTTTTAGATGACATATGACAGTACAGGCCCAGTTTTTTCACTGTCATGTACAATGAGGTTCTTAACAACCCAATCACTTGTTATTACATTTCCCCCAATTCCTAGGCACTAACAGTTTCAGCCTGCTCTGCCACTTAGCAGAAACACATTCAAAGAATATAACCATGAAAGGACTGGATGTGGGTAACAGGAAGCCTATCAATATCAGAGAATAGGATAATAAAAACTGTCCAGTTCTTTTTGTAATTAATGTATGTTCCCTAAACAGTTCTACATACACCTATGCCTTGATGTGAATGCTCTGGAGAGGAAATAAGAAGTTTGTGGCTGCTCATTTTAGTGAGTCAAGATGCTGGATACAACTTGCTGCTTGTCATTTGGCTACCTAGACAGATGGGCTAGACTGAAGTCAGTGGGGCTGCTTGTGATCTACTCCACAACTGAACATATTTGGAAAAAGCTGTTACACTAATTTACTCATTTATATCTTAAAATGCTCTCAGTTTCTCTACAGCTACAACTCATCTTGGGTTCTCTACAGCCAGAGAGGGTCAGGCCTATATGTAAGAGAAGCAGACAGAGACAGAAGTTGTGCAAAGCTGGCCATGGACTTAATAAGAGCTTGATTCTGTACCAATGAAATCAACAGGAGTTTGGCTCTTGTTTGCAATGGGAGGTGGATCAACGTTTTATGCCAGCTGTTCCCTGCTGGGTAGGGATAATCCCTTTGAAACAAAATATTTAACTTGTTCTCACTCTGTTGTTGTAAGAAGGCTTCCCATGAATATGCTTTCATGAGAATTAAAAGGTGTGTCCCATTTTCTTTCTCCAAGTATCACCCGCCACCCCATAGTATAGAGTTGCTGATCCGAAAAAAACCCCAAACCCCTCCACCTGCCATTAACATTTGTTAACTCCACATGAGTTTACAAAAGTGCCACAGAAATGAGTTACAGGATGGAACTGAGTCACCTGTTTGTTCTGCTGGCCATGACAGCACTTGTACTTTCCTCAGCCAGGAGATACAGAAAGGAAACATGTTAATTCAATCAGCTGCAATTGAAGTGGGATCCCATGGGCAGAAGTAAAATAACTGAGGTCCCTGCAGGCCAATAGAAGATGATAAAAAAATCCAAACTTGCAACAGTCATGAAGGGAGTAATGAATAACAGTGTGGGAAAAGTATCAGAGATGGGAGCTAAGGAAGGACAGTATTAACAATAACATCTTGTACGTGTGTCCTCCAGTCTGGATCTGAGTGCAGCATTTAGTCTCAATTGCTGTTTCTGTGTTTTGTTTTCATTTTTGACAGTGACAATGAGGTTCTAAAACATGGCTGATGCCCAGGTTGCTCTACAGATCAGCAGCAGCAGTGGCTCCTTCTAGTCCCTGCATGTGTTGGTCAAGTTCAAAAAGAATGTGAAAGTTGGGCCCATTTACACCAGCTCTCAGTTTGGTTCACTCCCTCTCACTCCTCTGGCTGAGGTCCATTTGGCCAACAAACCTGGAACATAAAGTCTGCTAGGTATTATAAAGCAATTATTTAATCTAAAAAGTATCTTTCACCGCATTCTAATAGGATTTCCATAAAATACAGAGTTCTCCACAATATCCAGGGAACTTTTGTTTACACCATAAGCTATGACACTTCTTGAAGAGCTCTGGAAAACTCAAAGAGGGGAACGTTCCAGAGACAGAGCTGTTTGGCCAGGCAACCAGGGACTGAGCCTACTGTAGAGTTACATCCTGCAGAAGCAGGAAGCGTATGGAATCATTTGAGCTTAAGAGACTGTGACATTTTTATAGAATGAAAGAAGTAACTGAGAGATACAGTGACAGAGCCGGGAGCTGCAGCTGGCTGGCTGTTCCATGGAGCATTCCCCTCATAGATTTTTATGACTCTCCTAGCCCTAATATTAAACACTTGACCTTTTTGTCAAATACTATTTTATATTATTAGGTTGGATGATTAGTTACTAAATATACCATCTATAGTAAATAGGAAATTGTGTAGTCAGTCTGATGCTTTTAGTCGTAGACCTTTAAGGTATTGGTCCTTTGGCATTTAACATTAGAACACTGAGTGCTCTTATATTAACTTAAGTCCCTTGGTAAGCAAGAAGTGCACAGAACTTTCACATAGGGCAGAGGGGTTTCTGAGGCAGCATTACCAGAGTGGAGAATGCTGTAAACATTGCAAAGTCAGGGATTACTAGGAGCCAGCTGATGCTGAACAATACACCTTAATCTACAGCTTAGGACTAAGTGCATTTACTTTTTTAAATTCTGTAAACCAGAACTTTGCAAATGACTCTGCTCTGTGCCTCTCTCCCTGGGTAAACTATTCTATTAATCCTCTCCCTTCTCACAAGGAAAATGGTACTAATGTTAGAAGCAGAATTAATAATTTGCTTTTTTACCTCAGCACTTCATACCCTGTTTTAGGAAACCCTGCTGCAAACCACTCCCTCCCATA